ACACTGAAAACATTTAGTTATCTGGTCATCAACATCAATACAAATAATTCTCAGAATAAACAAAAAAGTTCTGCACAGTTTGGATCAAGATCTTCATCATAAATCCTTAATTCAATTTTAGCCATAGAAAATCGAAAATGTCTTTCTTCTGTGTAAACAGAGCAGAATTGTAAACTAAACTGTGTTAACAGAGACGTTAGCAGACCTAGACCAGCATTAATATTTGAGATGAGGAATCTATTGCATATATTTATAAACATACAGATGTTTGAATTCTGGGGTGTTTCTCCATCTTGCTCAGTGCCCTTGACACCTGCTGCATGTGTCCTCATACATATAACTGTGGGAAGGTTTGTGCTATGGAGTCTGTTCAAGATTTCACCAACACTCTCTGTGACATACCCACACACCTGGCCACTGTCGGTCACATAGATGATGATGTCAGCTTTCTCATCAAACAGCCTGTTTTTGATGGCAGCTAGATCGGAGGTATCATAAGTGTAGCCTCCATCCGATTTGACAATTGTCAGGGGAATAGACTGGCCCGGAGCAAACACTATCTTCCTGCCCTCGTCTAACTGCACCAGACCTGATGAGAGAGAACGGGATTGGAATATGAAAGAGGATGGTTAAGCGAGGGACTAAAAGCAATCTTAAAACAACACTGCCCCCAAATGGATATGTGCATTTAGATATGTGCAATGCTTTTAAAAGATCGTTACAGTTCAATTAAAGCTAAGCTCTACCGACAGCATCTGTGGCTGATTGTCGAATGGCACAGACAAGATTTTTGACCTGTCTTTTGGTCTGTAAATACAAACAGAAATCATAAATCATAATCATAAATATCATTAATTAGGGCTGGGTATCGATTCAGATGTTCCAATTCGATTCGATTTCGATTTTCAAGCTCTCAATTCGATTCGATTTCGAGTTTCGATTCGATATTCGATTTGATTTTTTATTTCAATTCTCGATTCGATTTGACTATATGAATGAATATAGATTTAATACAAATCCATATTTACATTAATCATAAATAACACGCTGTTTAGGAAGTAAAGCCAGTAGTATATGACATTAGTGCAATAAAATCACCTATCTACCTTGCCTGTACAACTTTACATTCAATCTTTAACTCATGTGATGCCCATGTAAATCCTGTTTGCAAGTATAACTGGCACTGTTTACAAGCTGTTTAGAGAAATAAAAACCCAACCACATAAACTGTCAATTATTTCTTCAGAATTAAAATATATAATTATTTAGTGAATAAAAAAATAAATAAAAACGGACAAACAAAATAACTGACTATAATAAATAATAATAAATATTAATCAATTAATAAAATATACAATAAATAAATATTAATTGATAAATTATAAACAAACATACAATCAATCAATGAAACACTTCACTTTTAAGATGGCATAAGAGAAATTTATTTAAAATTTATATTTTAAATAATGTATTAATTAAATTTCTCTTATGCCATCTTAAAAGTGAAGTGTGTAATTTCTGCACCTACAGCAGCACAAAACAGAATTGCAATACCGAAGTGTGGCCCAGTAACTCGACCAATAGTGCGAGTTTGGGGTGGGACCACTTGTTTGTTTGAACAACAAAAGACTTGAGAAACAGACATTAATGGTGCAATAAATAAATACACACTGGAATCAGATCCATGTGTGTTAGGTTTGAGGCCATCTATATGATACCCCCTAAAAAGTTCCCTAAAATAAACTTAATAGTATCCCCAGATAAACCGTTAACCTTTTCTATATGTCCCGCAAACCTGTTTCAATTAAAAATACATAAAGGAAATAAAGCAACTTATTAATATTTATTCAAATGCCAGTAGACTTGTTGAAAAAATGATACCTGTTCCAAAAACAAGCAAACATAACATTCAACATTACACATATCAATGTTTACTATTAGATAGTAAAACAACAAACGTAAGAAGTCAAAGAGCCCTAAATCTGTACCTTTTTCCTCAAACTCTTTTACCACAACTGTCATCATGTCCTGGTAGTAGGACTCTCCCCTCTCTTCTATGCGGATATCCAGGCAGTTGTAGACCTTTTGAAACTCTGCATTAGCAAAGCGGAAGGGACAAAGACAGTTTAATTTCAACAGTCACACCACAGGGAAATCCAATGTGGCACTCTCCAGAATTAACAAAGCCAGATTGGATGGCATCATCATAATTGGCCTTCATTAGACAAGACTTAGTGGGGGCTAATTCAGGGGGGACTGAAGGGTCTGATTAAGGGATAAAGGTAGATACTGTCTAGAGTTGGTGTCACAAGGAACAGACACGCCAGACAGTGGTGCAGGGCATCTGTGCCCTTAGGACTGAACTTTTGAAACTAGTTTAAATATTGGTCATTAAGCACAGACATTGAAGTAAAGGGAAGAGAAGAGCAAACGTGTGAAGAATGTCTCAGCTTTTAAATGTCAGAAGTAAAATTACATCAAAATAATAGATTTTTTAAAGTGTTTAAAATTTGATACCACCTCGGACACAAAAACTCTTCACTGCTTGAAAAGAAGCTTCACTACTTGGGAAAAACACATCCCTTTATTTCACCCTTTCTTGTTTGGAATGGAGGTGAATAAATGATTACTTTCAATTTTGAGTAAAGTTTTCCTTTAATATTGCACCTGCAAAGAAGTATCAGTATTTATTGATTTGTTTGTTTGTTACTGATATGAGCTGTACAAATTTTGTATTTAACACTGTTAAGTTAGTCTGACTCTTACTGTCCTAATTAAACATTAAAGAGTCTAAAGTATGGTAGCTGAGAGAGCTCAACGCGCAGCAACTTAAGAAAACACATGCAAATAGAAAAAGCACCAGCAAATTAACAAAACATCTGAAAACACGTATGCTGCAAATACATCAAATACAGAAATGTGCTGCAAATACTCGCAACACAACCAAATACAGAAACAGTGTTTCCCCTGCCATTATATTAGGGGGGTGGCACGCCCCCCCAACGGCACCCCCCGCCCCCCTGGAAGGTGAAGTTAATTTTATTTAATTATATTTTCTCTATAACGCCAGATCACAACAGAAGTCATTTAAAGTTACCTTTTTGATAGAACGGGTCTATACCTTGTTCTTTTATTAAACAAACTAAATAGCCTTATGTTATTTATCTTATTTACATGACGGCATGTCATTTCGGTCTCTGTTATGGTCGCGCTCTTCCGCCCCGATGGGCCAATAGGGTCTGGCTGCAGACATGCACTTGCATTTTCAGACTTGCACTCTCAGACTTGCACTCTCAGACACCTGCACTTCCGCGAGTGACTTCACTTGCAGTCTTTTTTAATTTTATTTTATTGAGTCATTATTTTTTAATTTAATCTCTCAACATTTTACACAAGTAGCCAGGTGGTGAAGACAAGAAAAAAAGAAACTAAATCACGAAGTCACTTGCAATCGCCGCTTGCACTCTCAGCTACTTGCAATCCACACGAATCGTGCGTGTTGCCAATGAATACAAGACGCTGTGGTCATAAACACTCTATGGCTTAATGTATTAAGATAGTGCTATTAAAAGATCAAATTAAGTTTATTAATATAAAATATAATTATAGTGTTTTCCTCCCATACCGCAAAAGGTGGCATAATGTGGCATAACGGTCTAAGATTATAAAGACCTCATATGCTCCTCTTCATTATTAAAACACAATTAATATGTACAGATAAGCAGGTGAGACCAGAATAGAGTTGGTCCATTTAATATCACTTAATGAATTTCTTAATGCGTGTTCATATGGTCTGTGTAGTTTGCATCAACAATAAGAAATACTACTGAATTTGGTCTTTATCATCTTAGT